GTGGCATCTCTCCTGTGTTAGGAACCTGCTTCTCTTAGGTCCCCGCTTAACAGCAGCAGACCTAAATGCAGATTTTCTCCCCAGGGCCTGCCCGTCTTGTCTTACTAAACATTTCTCCCTCCTCCTGCTTTCTGATTTTAGTTTTCTCTCTCACTCTCCCAGACCCTTAATTATACCCTGGACTTGCCAGCTGCCCCACCAAAGGGAAATGGGGTGCCTTGTGGGGCAGGAAGCTTGGGTGACTACATCCTTCCTTCTCTCCACCCAACACACATAGCCCTACTTACTTTCCTCTGGTGGTTTTTTTTTTCTTTTTGTGAAAGTTATAGGGTGAATTCTGACTTTCTGATGACTAAACTTAAAATTTCTACAAGACCAGAAAAGCTGTGTCCTCTTACCATCAAAGGCTCACAGAACTTTGTATCTTTTAAAAATGTTTCATTAGTGAGGTGGAAAGACAGCCATAATTAAACCCTCCCCCGGCTTATGAGATAAGCCTATTAGCAGTTCTGCATTGTATTCACAGAGCTAGCTAGGAGCACAGAAAGACATGAAACCGAGGAAATTGGAGGAAAGGCTGGTTTTCAAAAATCGGAATCTTAGAAAGCTACATGGCAAATGTCACCCAAGAATGTTTTACATTTAGAAAAGTGTTTAAAAAAAAATAAAAAGTGTTTAACTCATGGTGGGGGGGGGGGGCTAGAAAGATGGCTCAGTGACTAAAAGCACTCTGAAGAGGGCCTGAGTTTGGTTCCCAGCACCTACATGGGATGGTTTATAACCACCTGTACCTGCAGCTCCCCCAGAGGTCTCACACCCCCTTCTGGCCTCCTTGAGTATCAGCATACACATGGGCAGACATGCACATACATAGACACATGTCCATAAAAATAATCATTGCAAAAGAGAAAGTATATTTGACTCCCATCCTTCCAAAATGGAAAAGTATACTTCCAAGTATTTAAATAATATAGCATCTTAGGAAATGTAATAAAATATAAAACAGAATCTCAAAGTAAACAATATTAATCTAAAACACAGCTGCTCCCCCAGAGTGGATACAGGCACCCTAATAACACTAAGAACTGACTACAGTCTGTGAAAGACTTAAATATAGCCATAGATTTTTAGTAGACAATTGTCCCAGATGTGTTGATATTATAAAACCAACTTCTCCCAAATCTAAAGACAATGATTCATTCATATATGGCTTATGTAATGTGAAGACATAATTAAAACCACCGGTTCCTTAAGAAAAATCACTTAGAAATATTCCAGTTATGTATCTGAGTACCCATACTTCACCCTATGTCAGGAGTTTCTTATCTGAAAACCCATAAAATAACCCTACCCAACATAGACTAAAACCTGTAATTTTTTACATCAGAACAATTTATTATGCTCAAGCAGTTCTTCACAAACACATAACACCAAGAATATAACGCTATAGTAATTTCCCGGCATATTCCTTTCCAGCTCGCTGATTGAAAGGAAGTATTTCTTCCTATCAATTATCCCGTGAATGCAGCACAAAAACGTAAACCGTCATGACAGCGGTTATCTAAAAAAGACAAAATATATCAGCCTGCTAAACAGACCCGCCGCCGCTCTGCAAACAGTCCTTTGCAAGGCCATATTTTGAAATCATTTCATACTTATAGAGGAACTGCAGAAGCTGAACAGAATTTAAGCACCCCCTTCGCACTGCTTCCTTGGTGTTAATGGCTTATGTAACCAGAGCAAAATTACCCACATTGAGAAATGAACGGTAGGCAGCACAATGCTATCACACCCAACACAGACTTTAGTCAGGTTTCCACAATTTCCTCACTAGCATCCTTGAAAGATTCAAAACTAAACTTCTGTCGAGGGCCCCGAGTTAACAAAGTTATGCAGACTTAATATATCCCCAACACCAGAGTGGGAACCAAGAGCCGACTCTGTCCTGTGTCTGCAAGCCAGAGCTTTCCAAGATTCACACATCAGCCTCCCTCTAGTGCAGAATTGAGCACATCACCGTCCAACACTTACGACAAGTTGGCTTTTTAAAACGGGGTCAAAGAGGAATGGGTTGCCAACTCCTTGGCTCCTCACCATGGAAAAGAGTTGCTTAAGCAATGCTATTTACCTCTCCCAGTGCCTTTATTAGTGTCTTTTTACAGAAGATATTTTTTAGTAATCTAAGCCTAAAGATAGACAGTTAACTTTGCTGTGTTGCCTATCAATTTGAAAGGGTAAAGATGGAAAATACTTTTCAAGTGAAATACATATGGATTATAAAATCCACATGGGCCCAAATCTTAAATCTTAATTCTTTTACCTTCTACTGAGTCCATTTCTGATGTCTGGAATTGAAAAAGAAAAAAGAAAAAAAAAAGCCTAGCTCACTTCTATATTCTACAGATGACTGATAATGAGTCTTAACTCCAAACCCATTCAAAAGAGGAAAGGAAGCAATGATGAATGCATGGACTTGATGGTTTCATACATGAGATGGACACCAAGAGGAAAATGTAAGCCCAGACTGTAGGAGGGCAGGGCTTTGAGCATCCTGGCTAAGACCTCAGCCACTGAGCTACAATCAAAGTCTGCCTTTCAAGAATCACGTTCTCCTTCCTTTTCATGCCAGCTGCATCATATACAATCTCAAGGCTTGTCAAAGGCAGTGATTTACACTAGCAACTTACTAGATGTGTGTGTCTGTTGTCAGGTCCAAGACTCTGACAACAGTGTTTTATGGGAGGGGGAGGGCTCACTTTGTCCACAGGGAGCTTACAATCTAGCTCTAACTGGGTTTCAATGTACTCCCAAACCAGGTGAAAAGCAGCCAGCTACTGCAGAACCGTATGAAGAAGGAACTGCCGGTGTCACAGCATCAAAACTTATCTTCTCAACATGCACAAAATAAACCCAACAACCATCACATTCCCAGGGAAGTACACTCCTGGCCTTGAAGTTTTCCAAAAGCCAAAGTGTGTGTGTGTTGGGGGGGGGGGGAAATAGGGGGGCTGAGACATTCCATGTCCAGCAACAAGTCTAATTTTTGCAAACAGGAACCTTGCCAATTTCAAAGTTTTAGATGTTCAACGTTTCTACACAATCATTTGTATACCGCCCTTTGTTCCCCTTCTCCCCACTAGCATACAATGATAACTCTAGCTTCCCAAATATGCTTCCAGTCGTAGTATAACTCCGCAAATAGGAATGTAATTTTTTCCCCAAAAGGAAAATGAGGATAAAACAAAAGCTTGGTTCAAAGAATCGATTTATCTATCTTTAAGAAGAGTACCACTGAGCCAATATGAATACTTTTGTCCCCCTTACACATAACTTAAAACTCCATCACAACGATCCTTGACACAGCTTAAATGTAAACAGACCCCTTCTAAGGGAGTTAGGCATATTAGTAAAGAGAGAGAAAAAAATCACGAAGGCCCTCAGACCTAGCTTTTAATACCAATGCTTTACAAGGCTTCCAAACTAACACAGCCACTAATAAGAACGCAGCCAAAATCTGTATCCGCTTTATATCAGCCGGCTCTGCGGTGCGTGCATTAACGCCTCTTCAGTACGTGCAATTTTCACGTTGTTAAAGGAGATACTGAGCTAGGGGCAAAGGCGTTTCTCTATTGAAGTTAGTGGTTTGGGTTTCTTTCGATGCACAGCTGGCTAAGTATCAGGTCCTTTCATCTCTGCCACCAACTGTGCTCAAGGGTCTCAGGACCAAGCCTGATACACCTTTCTGTGCCTATGAATACAAAGGACCAGCATCCCAGGATGCCCAGAAAGTCAAACCTGATGCTTTCACCTGGCCAGAGGTCTAGGTGGCTTTAATGTTTGTAAATGTACTCCTTACTTTAATGAAAGTTCTCTTCACCAAAAAAATATTAAAAGCCCAACTTACTCAGCCCACCCCACCCCCGGAAAAACATAGCACCCCATTTTGTAACTCGTGTTCAAGGTTAAATGCAGCCTTTTTATTAAAATAAAAAAGGCAAAGCTCCACCGCCACCATTGCGTGTGGACATTCATGAAACTGATAAACACGACAAAGTGTGCGAATGCTGCCAGCGTTTGCCAAGCACCCACGTGTGTCCTCCTGGGACAGGAGATCGTAGTAGAAGTAAGCCTTGAGACTCTGTCAGGTTCGGTCTCCCGCCTGACCCCCTGACTCACATCTACAACCCTCTGTCTCCACCAAGTCCTCCTTAGGGCTCGCGAACCCTGACTGTGCGCAGCCTCAGCCTGGCTTGGTGCACACAGCCAGTCCCCTTCTTTCAGCTGGGACCGACCCCCCCAGCGCAGCCCGGCTGGGTTACCAAGTAGTTATGGCCGTGGCGGCCCTCGGTTAGAGAGGCCGAGGGTGGGGTCCGGGCGCCCAGCCACAGTGGCCAGGATTTGGGGAGCTGCAGATTCCTCTAGGGTCGCAGAGACCTCCCGCGGTGCAGAAAGGGACCGCTGGCACAGCGAAACCGCGCAACGGCGGGGACCCGCTGAGGTCGCCCACCGTGCCGGGCAGGGGGCGGCAGGGAGGTCAGGTTTGGGAAGATCGCAGGCTATATCACCCGGTTCGGGAGATCGCCCCGGGCGCAGCTAAGCACCGGCAGCCTATGCTGGCCGCCACCGGGGTCGAGAGGCCCGCGCAGCGCCTACTCCCGGAGGCTGCAGCTGGGAACTTCAGGCAAAGTTTTCTGCAGCTCCTGCCTGGGCCGCCCAGGGACTCGAAGCCCGGAGCACAAGTCCAGGCCCTGCAGTGACAGGGGCCCGAGATGGAGCTCCCGGCTCCCGTACTTGTCCCGCGGGCTCCTGCGTGCGCTGCACGGGTCCCGGGACTCCGCGGCGGCTGCTTTCCTTCCGGCCATCGGCCAGCCCGGCTCACCCACTACACGATGCCGGGTCCTGTGCTCCCCTGCCCGGCCCCGAAGCTCGCCTCGGACTCTTCCACCCGGGAGTCATCTGCGTCCCATGCGCCCCGAGAACGACAGGGACGACCTGCTTACCTGAAAACGTCTCCCCGGCCGCAGTTAGCAAAAGTCCAGCCAAAGTCACCAGGCAAGTCCCAAGTGTCCTCATGGTGCTGAGTGCGCGCCGGGCCGCCTCGGGGCGGCGGCGGCCGGTAGACGCGGGAAGCCGAGGGGGACGCGAGCCTGAGCCGCAACTGCCAGTGTAGACGCAACAGCAGCAGCGAAACACCAGACCCCAAAGTGGCAACAGTTGCACAAGTCCGAAGTCCCGCGGCTCCCCGGCGTGGGGACCGGGTTCTGGGTCCTCTTGCCCTCCTGCTGGCCCCCGCTTGGAGTCTGGCGCCGCCGGGAGAGGCAGCGGAGGGCGCGCCGCCGAGCCCAAATCCTCGCTGGGATCCGGCGCTGCGCCCGCTTAAGCGCTGCCCCTCCTCGGGACCGAGCCGCCCGCGGCGCCGTGGCCGTGGCCGTGATCGCGCGCTTTGCAGCCCG